GGGGCCCCGCCCCCAGGAGGGGCCCCGCCCCCAGGAGGGGCCCCGCCCCCAGGAGGGGCCCCGCCCCCAGGAGGGGCCCCGCCCGTCTCCTAGCAACCGCCAAACACAGTTGTGCTGCGGGTGCTGCGGGGCATCTCGGAGCTGCTGGACGGACCAAGCCCTCGGAGCCTCCTCCCCGAGGCGGCTGAGCCCCTCTCGCAGGAGCCTCTCGCGTGGGGCGCCGGCAGCATGTCTCTGGACGCCTGGGAATGGGAGGATGAGGACAGGGCCAGCGTGGGGCCCGTGTCCTCCGGGGGCAGCTTTCATCCGTCCGGGAGTGAGTGTGAAGTGGACGAGGACCTGCAGGTCGGAGCCTGGGCCCAGGAATCAGAATCTGACCACCAGTGCAGCAGCAGGTCCTCGGCTGGGTCAGTCAGTGCCGTCAACTCCGACGTGCCCCACGTGGTCCCCTGCACGTTCATCATCTCTCTGGCCTTCCCAATGACTGTTGGTAAGTGTCACAGCAGAATTCCCACACCCTCTGCAGAGAGGGGTGCACAAGTGACCCCCGCCCAGGAGCTTGGGTGCGTGTGCTCCCTCTGCCGGCTCCCTTAAGCCAGGTGGCTGATGCCAGGAGCAGAGATCTGGAAAGAAGCTGCCACTTGAGGGGGTCCAGTGTGGGCCAGGCAAGGAAGTGACTGTGTGGGCTTCACAGACTTAGACCTCTCAAAACCCCAAGAAGTAGGTGATGTTACTTCTGTATTTTGCAGCTAAAGAAACAACCAAGAGGTTTAGGCATTGGTTTCCAAAAGCTGGCTTATCACCTGACTTTGTTTAAATACAGGTTCTCAGATGTAGTGAATCAAAATCTCTGAGTGTGAACATAATTAGCTTTTGCAAAAACATGCTTCGTAACGAACCCAAACAAGCTCTCCAGTTTAGTGGCTTCCAGCTGGAGTCCCTGTTTCTGGGTGAGCAAGTCAGCTGATCCAGGCTGGGCTCCTTGCAGGGGCTCATCCTCCTCTGGGACACGTGGGCCACCCAGCCACAGCTCTGTCCCGGAAAGGCAGAGGCACACAAGAGGGCAAGCCCAGTGGCCCAGCACTCTCGAAGTCTTTGGGCTCCTCCCACTTGTGAACCTTTTATTGGCAAAGCAAGTCACGTGGTTGAGCCCCGAGATTAAGGGCAGAGACTGGTGCTCCACTTTTTGATATATACAAAAGGACGTTTTTGGTCTAGATGAACTATCCTTCCGTGAGGGTTAACTCCAGCTTCTCTCTGTAGTTCTGAGAGTGGTTGCTTCACACACTTCGGAGGTGGTTTGGTTAGGTGAATACCATGTTTCACGTTGACCTGTCTTCTTGGGGGATTGACCTTTTTGTCATTATGTGTGACTTCCTCTATCCATAATGATGCTTTTTATCTTTGATCTATTGATATCAGGCAAAAGAACCGAAAAAGACATTTGCAAATACCAACTCACAAGCAAACTGGTGCTTACTCCACCACCTTTCACCCTCACATCTCTTGCTGCATCTCCTAGGCCTGTTTTTCTTACTGTGGCGGTTCCTCCAGAGGCATTTACAGACTAGGTCTCTGTGCAGCTCAATTTATGAGCTCTTGCCTGAGAGTATTTTTATGGTACTAATGCCTTTGAAAGACCTATCTTTGGCTGGGTATAAAATTCAACTTCCATGTTTTTTCTTTCAATACCTGAGTGTTTATGAACCTATTTATAAATGTTTCTGTCCGTTCTTTAAGAGAACTGAGATCCTACATTTTCTTTATTTCCATTTTTCAGTTTTATTAGGTAGAATTGTTACAATTTGCCAACACACAATGTATCGTATGTAAATACATATACACAATACACTGCACGTTATTTTTAATTTACATATGTGTACTGATCATTGTTTCTAAGAACAGTTTAGAGCTTTAGCTTTTTAAACTTACGTAGTTAGTTATCAAAGGAATAAAGCCAACCACAAAATGAGAATCAACAGAATGCTGTAATCCAGTCATAAGGGACAGTCAGATGTGCATATTTGAGAAATCAGTCATCCAACTTATAAATAAGTAGTTCATTTGTGTCCTTTTTTTTTTAGATTCCACATATAAGTGATCTCATATGGCATTTTTTTTCTCTTTCTGACTTCACTTAGAATGACGATCTCCAGGTCCATCCATGTTGCCACAGATGGCATTATTTTACTCTTTTTGTGGCTGAGTAATATTCCATTGTACAGATACACCACAGCTTCTTTATCCAGTCATCTGTCGATGGACATTTGGGCTGTTCCCGTGTCTTGGGTATCGTAAAGAGATCCTGCATATTCTATTCTATAGCTTTTAAAAAATTTGACGGCACGTCTTGGGTATCATGTAGGATGTGAACAGATGTGTTTGCCTTCGCGATTGTTTGTTTAAAATGCCGACACAGCCTTCCAGCGTATATGTCGAGTTTGTCCTTCCCTGTCTTGGTGGACATGAAAGTTGTTTCCAGTTTGGGGCTTACAATTCCGCAGCAGACGTCCTGGTAGTGCATTTCTGGGCGTCCGTGTGGATACTTCTGGAGCCTGTGTTTTGAGATGCCGAATTGCTGGCTCTAAGGCACGCATTTACACTTTGGGGACAGATGTTGTCGAACTGCCCCCCGAAGTGCTGTAGCAATTTGCAGTCCCATCTACAGGAAATGAGAGGGTCTGTGTCCGCTTGCTGGCCACCGTGGATTAAGCCCGAAGGCAGACCTGTGAAACTCTGCCAGCTTCCTGGTCAGGTGCACCTTCACAAGACATTCTAACACCCACCGAGGACAGGCAGGAGAGGTTCCATTCCAGACTCTGCACCAGAGCGAAGTTCCCTGGTGGTGCTCCGTTCATATAGCAGCCTCCTTGGTGATAACGACTTGAAATTTTTCAATGTCAGCTCTGAATACAGCCACAGTTTTGTAGAATGAAGCTTAGAGGCAGTATTTGGAGTTCCTGAAGCATCCTCTCATGGTGTCCAAAGCCTCATCCTGCTGGGGTCAGTTTAAGGTCAAGGGCAGGTCGTAGAGGCCGTGGCCACTGGTGGAAGCCCAGCCTCAATTTCAGCATCCTGACCACCCCCCCAGCCCCGCCAACATCGTACAGCTGCCCTCGTGAGGTTCAGCTGGGGTCTTTCCACTGCCTGGGATGTCTGCCAACTCTGCCCCTACAGGAGGCTGCCGAGGGCCCCTGGGGGCTCCTCCCCGCCCCCACCCCCGGGCAGGCTGTGCTTCAGAACCTTGTTCACGCTGCTGGGATTACACAGATCATGTCGCGCTGCCACGACTAGGGGGAGGCAGGCGAAATGCCTAAGGTGAAAAATTTAAGAAGAGGCTCACCTCAGAGGCAGGCCCTGACGCTTTGCCTGCTGGCGCCCAGCTCTGGTCCTGCTCCTCTCCCAGCTGGAAGGGCCGGCCCCGCATCTTAGCCCCCAGGCGGCGGCAGCGTGGGGGCCTGCGGACGGCCTCCTCCAGCCTCGGGCTCCTCTTGGAACTCCAGGGAATTGTGGAGATGGGTCTGCTTTCCGACGTGAGGTTAAAACAAGCCTCACTCCATCTGTATCTTCTAGGTCGCAAAGGAAAATATTCGAAGCTGGTTGAGAAACACAGGAAACAGCCTAAAATGGACAGACCTGCGGCCAGGGTTCGCTCTTACTGCCACCTGGAGTACTTCCTGCTGCCGGACGACCGAGAGCCCAAGCGAGCGGATGTTGTGGTGTTTTCAGGCTTGGCCAAGGTGTTCCTGGATTCGAGGATAAAGGTAGGCGTGTGTGTAGGTGGGCGGCTTTGCATGTAGCCTAATGCTCACGGAGGATGCTTGCTTCCCCTGGAACTTGCTAGAAATGCGTGATCGTGGGCCCCACCCCAGACCTACCGAACGGGAATATGCACTAACCTAATAATGCCGACTATGCGACTTTATATATATATATTTTTTTTTTCCCCAGTCTCAGCACCAGGGACCGATCCCCGGCCCTCGTGCGTGCCAAGCACACCCGCTACCGCCGAGCTCTGCCCTCCCCCCTCTATCAGACATATCTATCTAACAATTTCTTAGGTGTTTCCGGAGGCTCTGCAGCTCCTGCCACCTCTCGGTGCGCACACGCCCGCCTGTGGCGCGGCGCTGGGTCCGGGTTGGGAGTTGCTGGGAGGGTGTCTTTGCGGGTGATTTTGCTTTTCAAGGTCTCTTGCTGTTCTTACGCAGACCGTGAGGCCATGGCCAGAAGGGGACAAGGTCTGGGTGTCCTGGACCCAGACTTTTAACATCAAGGTGACAAAGGAATTGCTAAAGAAAATAAATTTTCACAAAATAACCTTGAGGCTCTGGGACACGAAAGAAAAGATTCCGAAGAGAGTCAAGTATTACCGACTGAAGGCGGCCGCGGCCTTGGAAGACGTGGGCTCTTCTGGTGAGTCCGGTACTCGTGTTGTCTTTGAAATGTTCTGGAGGCTGTGGCTTCTCCTCAGGTATAGGATGAAAGCCAGCACCCCCTTGTCAGTCACCTGACCTTCCCGGGGCCCATGCTGGTCTCTGCATCAGAGACGCCATCCACCCAGGCTGTGCTCGGCGTGCGCGCCCCTGAGCCACCGCCCCCGGCAGCGCCGGGGGGGGGGCAGCCCCCACCAGACTGTCTCCCAGGATGAGTCTTGTGTGTTCACTGAAAAAAAAATAATTAGAGGCTATCAGGAAATGAAAGAGAGAACTTAGGAGCCGCCTGGCCCCGGGACAACCACGTTTCCATCAGGTCCGCCAGGCTCTTCGTGCGTGAAGATTGTACCAGTGCCAGAAGGTCTCCTTTCGAACTTCCCTCAAAGAGGAAGACCCAGGCTGAAGTCCCACAGCGGAACTCAAGCCCGTCTCCACCCTGAGCTAATGGTGACCTTGGGCACCTTCTTCCTCTGGTCACATGCCCCAGGGGCTGTGGCCGTGCTGGGTGGGGGGCTCCCCAGGCAATAAGGAGGGTTGCATGGTCTATAGAGAGTTTTAAAACTATAGCAAAGTGCTGCCAGTGAAACCAGGCTGCAGCGCTCATTGCAAGATGCGGCCCAGGTTTTGGAGATGCTGGAAGTCATCTGACATCAGCGGACGGGAGTCTGAGAACGCGCAGAAGGGGGCGCTGTGGGGGCCATGGACGGCAACCCCCAGACGAGCACAGTCGTCCCCACTTCCCAGCGAGCAGAGTGGCAGCGCCAGAACCACAACCCAAGTTTCTGTGACTGGAAGTCTGCTTTCTCCCGTGTCCTGCCTTCCTCCTCTTCAAGCAGCCTGCCTGCCCTTGGGGGCTTGGGGCTTCTGATTTTTAACCCTGGCCTCCACCCTCCAGGGGCCAGACCGGCCTCCCAGCTGTGCCCGAATCCTCCCCTCCCCTCATCGCCGGCGAAGAGCCCTGATTTGCCTCTAATCCACTTGTCCTGGGAGGGAGAATGGGGTTCAAGGTCACTTTTCTGACTTGGACCAAAGGACAGACCCACATCCTCAAAGTGTGGGCTCTGCACCACCGGCGTTTGATGCCCTTGGAGTGCGGCTTCAGTGCAGGTTCCAGGGCTGCAGAGCCCGAATTCCTGGTAAACAGCTGCCCCGCAGTGGCCTCACCTTGGAGCAGGGTGCTGGGGTGGGGGTATCGGGAAGGCTTCCTGGAGAAGGGGCCATGGGAGCCAGGCTGGGAAGGGTGAGTAGAATCAGCCGGCTGGAAAAGTAAGGAGCAAGGGGGTCCCAGGCCCTGCAGGGAGGGCCTGCGGGCCTTTGCTGTGAGCATCCTCCAGCCGGCAGCACCCGCCCCTCCTCCAGCCCCTCCCCTGCCTGGCATCACTGCCTCTCATTTTTAGTAGATTTTTTCCATTAAAAAAAAAATCAGTGTATGTTCACTTGCAAAACAATTTTAGCAGACCAGCCAAAGGGAGAAAAAATGAAAACCCCGTGCTATCTGAGCAGAGAGGGTCATGGCTAACATTTTCCCGTGCGTTTTCCAGCTGGGCACAAAATTTTAACAAAGACAGCTCTAGTGTACCTGTTGTGTGAAGCCCCACCTTTTCCACTTAAGGAGACATCTTCCGGAAACTTGTCTGCTGGGCGTGCAGGGACGCCGCGAGAGGCTTGTTTCATGGCTTGTTACATGGGGGACAGGAAACTTTCTTGGATGCACCGCAGGTCACGTGCTGGGCTGGGAGCTCCCCGCCTGCTGGTCTGGACCAGAACATCCCACATGCGTCGGCAGTTCCTTCTCTTACATCTGCTCAGCCTCTCGGTTGCTCAGTGTTGGGCAAAGCCTGCCTTGAAGCCCCCCAAGTCACAGCTGCCCCGGCTGTGCCCTCCCCTCTGGGCCGCGCCCCTGCCCAGGCCTGCCTGCGTGCTGCCTCCTCTCCTGCTGCTGTCCCCAGCCTTCCTAAATCACCGCGTCGTCCCTGGCGCTTCACCGCTCTGCGGGCTTCCCCGCTGCCTGTCCCACTGCCGCTCCCACCTTCACACCCGGTCCAGCCCCGTTCCCCAAACTCTCGAGGCTTTTCCCCACTGCAGGGCCTGCCTCCAGGCACCGGGGGCTCTTGGCTTGAACTCTTCTCCAAAACTGTGATCTGGCCCTCAGCATGCGTTGTCTCGTTGTCACTCCCTCCCTCTGCTTGCTCATGGCTCCACGCGTGTTGGCCGCGGCCGTGTGTGCGCAAAGCCCCTGACTGACAGACGTGATGGGCGTGGAGGGGCGGGGGGCTCTGCGTGTTGTCCTCACTGGGCTGAAGGGTCAGCTCTCTGGCCACCGGAGAGTGACCGAGTGTAGAGGGGGACGTGGTGCCGTCCTTACAGCCACGTGTGAATGGCGGACGGAGCAGCAGGTACCCAGGGTTTCTCGGCACGTTTGGGAGAAGCCCTGGCCGGCGGAGGGTTGAGCTGCCTGGTGTTCTGAGGCCGCCCCCCGCCCCCCACCCCGGGAACCACTCCGGGGGCAGGAGCCTTGCCCACCGTCCTGCGGCTCTGCCCCCAGCTCCAGGAGCCGGACTGTCGCCTGGGGGAGGGGGGGTTCAGGACGGACATCTGGTTGACTGAGTCAGCGGGCCTTTCTCCTGCATTCCAGAGGAGGTGAAGCACCTGGTTTTAAGTCAGAGAAGACAGTCTGAACAGGGCATTCATGTCAAAGAGGAGTCGCACCAGGAGCACTTGCCGGGGAAACCAGAAAAAGCAGGAAAAGGCTTAAAGTCTGTGCCCGGTGAGTGGAGCCCCCTTTGTGGACAAGCTGCGTGCGAGGCCACAGCGGGGTGGGGGGTAACTGATCGGGGTTGCTGGCGGGGCACAGGTGCCCGGAGCCCGTCCCCCCTACCAGCCGAGCAGACCGGCCCTCACTGCACAGCTCGCTTCTGCTGTGGATTCTTTTTCTTTTTCTTAATAGTCATCCTTTTTTTTTTTAAAGAAATTATTTTTATTTATTTATTTATTTATCTGGTGGGGGGAGTAATTAGGGTTATTTATTTTCACTGGAGTTCCCGGAGATCAAGCCCCAGGCCTTGTGCCTGCTCAGCATACCCTCTACCCCTGAGCTACACCCTCCCCGCTGTGGATTCTTTTTCATTGCTGTGACTTGCCGGAAAGCTTCTCTAACTGCCGAAGTCGCATATGGTTCTGGGTTGTATTTAGAATATTCAGTGACTATGGAAAGGTATAAAGCAGGCAGGGAGAAGGCGCTGTGGTTCCCTCCCGAGGAGCGAACGTTGTAATGTTTTGATAATTGTATCGTGGCCAATTCTTTGTTTCTGTGCTGAGATTTTTTCTCGTAGACGAGGTCAAATAAATACATCACTTTGGTATTCCGAGATTAGTGTCGTCATGTGCACACCCCGTCTCCATCGTGACTTTCCGTAAACTTTGCTCGTGGTGACTGCAGAAGACTTCACTTCACCTGCTGGCAGCTGTAGAACGCGCTTCCCCCGTCCCCGCGGGCGGGCACTTGGGAAGCTGGGCAGTGTTCTCAGTATTCTCGAACGTGCACGTTAGAAGTAGACAGCTGAATAGATAATAGACCTTTCTTGTTTTACCCCCGCGTGAGGCATTATATAAGGATCCGGAGGCCTTCTCTTGCCTCCGTTTGCCCAGATAGTCACAGTCGTGGTTACTCATGAATACTCGTCGCCACGCAGTCACGAGCCTTTCTGCCAACTGCTCGGCTCGCCAGGCCTGTGGCCCGGGGGCTGGCCCTGCAGGTGTGTCAGGGCCCTCACTTCTCGGTGGGCGAGGGCGGAGCAAGACGTCTGGAGACAGGGCTAACGTCCCCCCTTCTCACCCGGCAGAATCGGAGACCCTTTCCCAGAGCACCGAGGACTGTGAGAAGCTCCTCAGAAGGGAGGATCTGGCCACAGCACGGTAAAGACGGCCCCTGCTGTTTTGGGGGTGGGGGAGCCCCCCTTGGGCTAGCCCCAGCGACTCCGGCCAGGGGTCACGTGGACTTCGGGAACGTCAGTCCAGCTGGAGCCGCTGCAGCCCCGGCGAGATGGAGGGACAGAGAAAGGGTGCCTGTGCTCGAGCTCGTGCGGTGCGTCGGGCCCGGAGCTCCTGTGAGGTCGGTCTTCTGCCTCCTTGGGGCCTCAGAACGCTCACTCGGGGGGCGGTGTCGCTGTCTCCGTTTCCTACGCGAGGTGACTGGGTGGGCAGGTGACTGGCACAAAGGCACACAACTAGAACTGATGGGAACCTGGGGAGTGTGGGTGAAGCCAGGGTCCCAGCCCGCCCCTTCAGGTGACCGGGTCCACAGCCCTTCCTGCTGGGAGTGCAGCTGCCCCTGCGGCTCCTGGAGCCTAACAAGTTCCAGAGAAGGAGGCTTCTCAGGTGATGTGGGGACTAGGAGGAGAATGGAGGCCCAGCTGGTGACCTGGGGGGATGGAATGGGAAGAACCAGGAGAACATGTCATTTCAAAATGTTGATTAAGAAATTGTTTTGCTTGAATTTGTAGATTCCTTTGGGGAGAACTGACATGTTGACATTGTGAACTTGTCCCATCCATGGTCATGGTGTATCTTCTCACCTAATTCCTCCCTTCCCTTATGGTTTTCAGCAGGGCTTATTTTCTTCCTGTGGATGTTGAGGGTAATTCCTGTAAATGAATCCCTGGATATTTTAGAGTTTCAGTTGCTTTTATTAAAAAAGCTAGTTTTTCCACCGTGTGTCCTGGTTGGTCAGGAACCGACAGTGCAGGGGGACGGACAGACCAGCGGCCTCAGCGTTCCTGGGAACTTCTTAGATGTGGAGGTCTCGGGGCCGCCCCGGCTTTCTGAACCATGATCTGCATTTTATTCAGGAACGTTCCCGGGTGATTCGTGTGCACCCTGAAACCTGAGCAGCTTTGGGTTGCAGTCGTGCACAGGTAGTCCAGTAAATAGGTTCTTAGATCCAGTCCTAGAGTTTTTTTTCACCTCCATTTGTTTTTCTCTCTATGAATCTTCTAGATGTAATATTTCAAGACCAGCCATTTTTTTCGGAGGGGCCAGCTCGGTCGAGATGAAGGAGTTAACTGAAAGATTGTCGTTTAACAGCTTGTCGAACTTGTTGGAAAAGCAAAAATTTCAAAGTAAGTTAGGATGGGGTTTGGGAATTTTGTAGGATAACTGGACCTGGAAGAGAATCAGGAAATGTTTCAAATTCTGAACGCTTCCATAGATTCTTTGATACCTGACCAAACAGTACTCGTAAGTGAAAAATACTACATGCAATTTTAGCCAACCTGTCCTAACTCACCTCATCCTTCCGTCCATCCATCCACCCCTTCCCACCCCACCCATGCGCCCGTGCTCCTGGCCCGTGGTGCTGTGTGCATGGGGAGCACTAAGATCTCTGACACCGACCAGAGACTTTCAAGCAGGTCATTCTGACTCTGCGTGGCAGGCGCTGTGTGGGTAGGAGTGTGGGTGCTGGGGAGGCGCAGAGGGTGGGGTGTGGAGACACTCTCTTTGGAAGCTGTTTGCTCCTTGAGGTGCAGGGAATAGCGTCCCAGGTGACAGGAGCTGCTCTCGGGGAAGCGGGTGATCTCAGCGGCAGGCTGCCGACGGGCACAGGTCCTCAGGTCACTGAACCCACTCCTCGTTCTCGGCCGAGACCTCCTCACCAGGTTTCCAGCCAGTGGCTGGGTTTCCAGCATGAGGTGGAAAATTCTAGAACCGGGCCTTGCTGCCGTCTCCCATTCGTTCAGCGTCACTGCTGCAAATCGTGTCCTCAACCCTCAGCCAGTCAGTCAGTATGCTGCCCCGTCCCACGTGGAGGCCTCAGCGCCAGGCGCCCCCGGGGCAGGGGGGCCGCTGGGCCGCAGCCATCCCTCTTCCTCAGGAAAGACGCGCCCGCACTTCCCATCTGCACAGCCCGCAGGTCCTGCCGAGGCTTCTCTCCCCAGATTAAGGAGCCTCACTCCTTGTTGTCCTTTAAGCATTTTAATGAGGGTCTGAACCTTCCTTTTTCTTTTGAAATGGAGAAAGTACACAGGAAAAGGCAAGCACCCTGCGTCCCGCAAGTCAGCTGTCACTGTTGGGCCGCGTTTCCTTTCTTTCTTGTTCCTATTTTCTTTCTTTCTTCTCTTTACAAGAAATGAAAGGTTACAGGTCCCGTGAAAGCCCCTGCGCATCCCGTGCTTTTGAGAAGCGCCTGCAGTCCCCGCACAGAAGTCGGTGTGGCCCCCGCCCCCGTCACACTCACGCGGCCTTGTGCCGACGCCGGTTTCTGCAGGTGACAGAAACGGCTTCCCGCCACACGTCTCTTCCAGCACCTCTTCATTTATGAGATTTATTTGTGTCGGCTGTGGGAGCCCCAGCCCCTCTGTCCCAACTTCAGGGGGCGCCCGGCAGGTGGGTGCACGCCCTCCGCCCATGCCGTCCCGCTGAGGGACACTGGC